GTTTGTACCGTACTCCCTACTCAGAGAGCCCATGTGACATCTCTGCCTTCCCAGCAAGGTAGTTGTGGTTGCTGGCCCTCACTCTGCCTTCCTCTGCAGGGAAAAGCAGCAGCTCCTGAGTCGGGCAACAGAAGCAGGCACCTCACCCACAGGCTGTGGTGGAGGTAGGTCACTCCCACCTGGGACTCGGGGTTTGGTGACTCAGCTGCCTCCAGGGCCACATGGGTAGGGGATCTCAGACCTTTGAAGCCATATCTGCCCTCCCTACAACATATCTCCATCCAGCTCCTGAGGACTCACTGGGCCAGCTGCTTCGTGTGCTGCAAGATCTTCAAGAAGCCCACAGTTCCATCCCGGCTAGCCCAGCACCCAGAGAGCCCCATCACCTTCTAGAGCTACAGACGTGACATGTCCACCAAGCCTCTGCCAGGCGTTTGGAGATCTGTCACATGCTCAGGATCCTTGTCCCAGTTCTGGGGAGGGCTGTGACCCAACATGGTCTTCTCCATGTCTATGAGGGACAACTGTGGCACCTGCTTTTTTGGGAGACCCGACTGCTCCTGTAGTCCCTGTGGCCCAGATTCTTCACCCAGGAGACCAGGCTGTCCAGCCCACACTGCTTTGCTCCCAGCCACCACCACTGTCTGGTCCCTAGGTTGGATGTCAGGGGCTCTGCTGCCATTAATAAACCTGCTGTGACTGCCAAGATGCCGAGGTGTTGGGATGGGTCCAGAGAAAGACTGAATCCAAGAGACCCTATATGGGGATGGGGGTGACTGAGGGCTGGGATCACCAGCCTCGCTGTAGGTTCTAGGTTACCTGGGGCCAGGCCTGTTTCAACTGGCAGCTGCTTTCCCATACTCATCTCGAGACTCCCTCTGTTCTCTAAGCTGTGGAGCCTGATGGATCTTCCCAGCCGGAAGTAGACACCACACCAAGCTCCTTTGTTCAGGGCACGCATACAGACTGTACAGCAGGGCTGGGTCACAGTGGTCCCTTCCAACTTCTGTGGGTCACCAGGCCAAGTTTCCAGTCTGAGGGGTGTGAGGCTGTGCTGATGGGCAGCTGGGTTGGGCATAGGGTCGCTAGGGTGGAAGGGGGTAGAGCCATTTCCTTGCCTTCCCCCACAAGACCCAGGCCACGTGTTGTGCTGCTTTTGTGGCTGATTGCCTGGTGCATTCAGGCACAGGGTGGGCCTTTGAAAAATGAGAATCCCAGGAGGTATTCATCTAGACCTTCCTAATGCTGTCACTCTTTAGTACAGTTCCTCGTGTTGTGGTGACCCCAACCATAACATTGTTTCCATTGCTACTTCACAACTGTAATTTTGCTGTTATCAATCATAATGTAATTATATCCGTGTTTTCTGATGATCTTATGCGTCCCTGTAAAAGGGTCGTTTGCCTCTATGAAGGGGTCTCAAGCCACTGGTTCACCTACTCAGCCAATGTCTTTCCTTTGGGATGTCTCTAAATGGCTAGCTTCTCCACAGTATCGGCCCCTGGCCACAGTTCTGCTTCTGCCACAGAGGGAAGAGTAGGGGGCATTCAGCTCAAATTCAGCTGCTGTATTGTTTATATTATTATTGTTTTTTTCCTGGAAGAATTAAGACAGGTTTTGTCATCTACCCAGGGATTGTTATATACCTAAGGATGACCTTGAAACTCCAGATCTTCCTTTCTCTGCCTCCCACGTGCTGGAATTACAGGTGTGAGCCATGCAGAGTTTACGCACAACTGGGAATTAAACGCAGGGTTCCATGTGTGTCCAGCAAGCCCCTTTATTTTTGAGTGTCTCATATAGTCCAGGCTGTCCTCAAACTCAGCCGTGGAGCTGAGGATGACCTGGAACTGATCCTCCTGACTCCACCCCCAAAGCGTTACAGGCTCAACCAAACAGCCATCCCTGAATGCAAATGGTATGCTCAAAGCCACACTCAGGCTGGCGGTGCAGTTGAATGGTAGGGCAACGCCTGACATATGTAAGATTCTGGGTTCCATCCGCAGTTCAACCAACACAAACGCACTCAGAAGTGGGGCATGATGACACACACCTGTATTCCCAGCATTCAGGAAGCTGAGGTGTGAGGATTTCAAGTTTGAGGCCATCATGGGTTATGTTGTGAGACCCTGTTAAAAACAAACAAAACCAAAAAGAAAACAATAATACAAAACCAAAAACCAGCCCATAAGGTGATTATCTTGCATGCACGAGGGCCTGGGTCTGAGCCCCTGCATTGTATAAATTGGGCAAAAGGCTGCTCTACATGAGCTACTACCCAAGCCCCTCAGTAGAGGATCTTAGGTAGGGGGGTACAGTGCTGAGCCACGCCCCCAGCCCCTCACTGGGGGATTCTAGGCAGGGGCT